CGATAAAAACCTACGACTTAAATAAAAATAAATTTAAAGATCTTTTCTAGGTTTTGGTGAGAGTTTGCTGAGATAAACTAAATTTCGATAGCATATATTGATAAACCGATAGTAATTTAAAAGACGTGAAGAATATAGTGCAAACACACTGAGATACAGAATAGCTCGAGTGAGTAACACATAGATTGAAAAATATATTGAATATCAATATTCATATTGTACGATGTGTTGTACTTCATCTTTTCAATATAGAAATAAATTCACAAAAACGTATTTCAATCGATTTATGCACTACTTTTTAAATTATTTTCAAGCAAAACTATCATGCTTTCGATGTTTATTAAAGTGAGAAAAAACGCTCGATGCAATATGGTGACATATTAAGCAAAGTCGCTTTATATAACGATGTATGAAGTTGCATTGAAACCGATCATTCTTTGGATTATCTTCTGATTGAAATCACTCACGTATGATTTGTACATAAGACATTACAAGTATGATGTATGTTTTATTAAAAAGAAAATGATTGAATGTATGTTACTATATCCGATTGGTCACAAGAACAGCAACTTTGTGAGTCTTTTGCTTGTTGTCGACAATAGAGCCAACGATTTTCTATAATATTACTACCTATATAATATTCTGAATTATATTTGCGACCACTCTTTGCATCATATTCATCATATTGTTGATTACACCGAGTACATACTTTATAGCAACTTTCTCTATCCATTGTTCCATTTGAATATTTGGTTCTGTTCGAATAACAAAAAATGCTTTTCCACGCTTAACTCCATATCGAAATTCCATTTTACAATTAGCAGATTTAATATAAGCTTTAGATAGAAAGACAAGTAATACTTTAGCACATTCCACACCTAACAAACAAATACAAATATATTGAGAAAGCAAACAAAATTCTTTTTCAATAGATAAACCTGTAGCCATGGCTTTATTAGTATTGACTTGCATTGAACACCAAATATCAAACCATGTACTAATTTCACGCATTGACATATCTTCATAAAATTTACGAACAAGCCGTTGACTATCCCATTGATAACTACATATAAAATATTCACAAAATAAAGTTTCTTTGACTTCGTCTCAATTACGTAATCATACAATCGAGTTCTTTTCGTTTTGGTAATCCATATTCGTCGAGTATGGGTGATGGTGCTTTCATATCCATACCGGCCGACAGGCTACCTTTTTGTTTTCAGAAGAAAGATTTTAATTAGGAACTTATCTTCATAATTTACTTCAACTCGGAAGTCAGTCATATACGATTACTATCATAGAATGGTTTATATGCATTTTCTTTATCAAATATTCGAAAAAAAGTACATCTAGCAATTGTTAAACCAAGCCAATCTTCAGATCTCCAGTCTTTGATAGCTAATACAGGTACAATTGGTTTTAGAAGTCGACCAGCTTCTTCAAATATTGCTCGACAAATTGGTGTTTTTTCAAGTTGAGGTGAAAAAATTGGTACAAATACAATACATCGTCTTATACTATACTTTGGATCTGTTCTTTGAAAGATTGTCTAATCCAACATTTAGATTTTTCGAAATAAATTCATCATAGACCAATTTTCCAACAGTTGTACCATCATCAACTGTTCAATTGAGAATATTACATTCATTGACATCATCGAATAAGATTAGCTCGAGGAACTATGGATTGTGATGTTGTCTTAGTTAGAATATAGCATGCAAAGTTTTGATTTGTTAAACTTCGTTGTAATTGCTCGGCAATAGTTTGTTCATTAGTGTACCAATATAATAAGAACATTTTTTACAGCTAAAATTCAAGATATTCAATTAAACATAGAGTTTAACAAAAATTAGCCTGCGAAAATTTTTGATGCACTGGAAAAACCTTTTGTCATTTCTTGTTGTTTCTGCTGGCGTTGTGCTGGAGATAATCTAGGTACAAATGAGGCATTAGAATTGAATTCAGTGTGATCAAAGTCATCAATTGACGCACCGCAACCTATCGAAGAAGTTTTTTTTTATTACGTGCAAGAAAAAAACAAAGAAGTAAAATCTAAATCGAGATTTGAAATGTTTTTATGTTTAGTCAATGGAAGAGCGCGAAATATTATTTCTAATACATTTTCTCTACATATATCATGCATCCAAATAATTTGTCCAATGAATTATCTATTGATGTGCTTACGCATGATTTTAATTCTCGCTCATTTCTCCTATCTCTTCGTCGACAAAATGAAAAACATCGAGAAATATGCACATCGGAACATGATCGTCAACATCCGTCAAAATATTGTTCATATGATAATTCACGTGGTTTTACTCGTTTAAATAAATATCATAATTCATATGTAAATTCTTCAATATCATTTCATATAATTAGTGAAAATGGTATAATAATGACAGATGATCTTAGTAGACAATTACTTGATGATAATTTATTAATTGTTCGTCGTCATTGGCAAAAATCAAAAATATTATTTTCTAACAAAATAAAATATATACAATCTGATTTATGTTCAAAAACAAATATATCATTGAAGAAAGCAATGTATGAATGTCAAGGAGCTCTTTTTAATTGGATTTCTAAAAATCGATTGAGATAATTAGAAGAAGAAAAAAAAAACATATATTGTAATTTTCGTTTGAATTAAGTATAATTTGAAGTAAAAATAATATAGAATTTATTTTTATATTTTACAATAAAAGTTCCTATCCAACAATATGAAAATCATAAGAAAAAGAATGTTGTAACTGTGTGAATATTTATCAAAGCTATTAAGATCAAGCAAATGATGAACATTCAAATTTGTAACAATTCGAGTTGAAATCAATATCGATACGATTTCAGACGAGCCGACTCGATCCAATTCTATGACAGAGAACTAACGATAATGAGTGAAATGGTATGAGTTTATCATGACTCGACATGATGGTTATTTTGAAGGTAATTAAGTTTTATTATTTTCTCAGAAGTCGTGACTTGTTCAAAAACATTCTACATAATTATACTTGACATCATAGCCTATTAAAATCATTTTAGAACGAAAAAATTCTTATAAATTCTATCAATACATTTGTGCACCTGTTGATAAATCTATCTAAATCCATTAGATATAATAAAGTAAAAATATTCATCTAAAATCCAACATCTATACGAACCATTAACTTCAGTTGAAGTTCAAAACTTTTTCTATTATTCTCAAATAATCAATAAACATTTTTTTTATATATTAACCTTATTATCATCGTTCATAGGATAATGACAAATATTTAACATGCTGTAAAATAACGAACATGTAATGCACAAAAAAAAACAATCAATCAATGAGTTTCGATCATGATAAATAACAATATAATATTTTACTGGTTCTATGCACGTTTTATTAGTGTCTCTTGTTAAACTCATTTACATTTACTGATCATCAATAGATAACGATTGTATTTACTTGACATATTCTGATCATCAAGAATGATCGATTATAAAATGAAGATTTTTGAATACAAAAAAAAAACGCAATTCATATTATTAGAAACATTTAGATTTTCATTTCACAAAACAAAAACATGACAATCTGATCAAAGAGAAAGTCTTACGAAAAAAAAAATCATCATGTACATCAAGTGCTTTGCGTCTTTTTTGACATATATATTATATATTCCACTAAGAATTATTAGTATAAATCTTAAAAGTAATACAAGTTGAAACATACATATGAATACTTTCAATCAAAATCAATCATATTTGTTTGTCTTTCGTTGTATAGATTCTCATGTTTTGTTTTTAATGTTCATAAATATTTCTTTTTTTACATGAATATTCTATTGAATTAGTGATCTACATCTAGATTATTACTATGTAGATTATGTTTTATTTTCCATATCAAAAAAGAGTTTAATCTCAAATTCATATACTAATGATATGAAATTAAAATAATAATAAATCATGATTTTATAGTTGAAAGCTTAATGATTATTGATTATCAAATGTTAAAAAATCAGCTCAATGAAAAATATAATAAAAATAGCATGCCATTTATACATAAAAAATTTGACTTTTATATAAAATCTCAAAGGAATTCATCGTTATTGAATAATATATTCACATGGAGAATTAGATATATACAATACGAGTGGGTGTTGAACCGGCTTAAGTACGGAAACAACAATATCTTCATTTCTTTTGTTTGTTTTTTTTTATGCTAGTAGTCTTTCTTTCTTATATTCAATTCATCATTAATGATATTCTTTTATTGTTTTTTATATTAGTTTATTTTCGTTTGTCAATCTTATCACTATCGATCTCTTAACATTGATTTTTTACAAACAATAGAAAACGGGAAGGAAATAGTATGATACGTAAATGAATCAGATAATTAGTTTTTTGTTCGAGCGTATGCATGCAGACATATTACAATCAAAATACTCAGATATTGAAGAAAGAGAATAAGAAGGAAAAAGGAAATTGAGATGACAAAGCTAACGGAAAAAAGATCTACTGAGAAGTCATCTTTAGATTACTCACGTTTTTTCTTGTTTTTACTATTATATAGCAATTGTAATAGTTCTTTAAGTGGCAAAGACAAATATCATTGAAACAAAGATTGCATATGCAAAAATTTTTAATAAGCAAAACAAAAAACAAAATACAAACTAGATCAAATAATTCACAAAAAAAACCGCTATCTTTTTATTATTTTTTTATAGTAGATTGAAAAATATTTTCGTTGACATTTGAACTCTTCATTATTTATATTTGATTTTGTTTTCATCAGTTATGTCAATAATAATAAATGAAGTATTTTGAGCAGTCAAGAAAAAAAAAAGAACAATGAAGAGAAGAAGAAGAAAAAAAAATAGAGAGAAGAGAAAAAAAAAGGAAAGAAGAATGGTTTCTATCATAATGTGATGGTCTCACGACAAGAACTAAGAACAACTTATCGGTTTCGATTGGTATTATCACATATTCTAATTTTAACTCAAAAAATCTTTACTTAGACGATCATGAAAGTAAATTAATTGAAATGTTTTTAAAAAAAAACAAAAAAAAACTTTTTTTTTTACTATAGTTATGGTGCCTGTTTGTCGTTTTTTTCCTTATTATTACAATTTCCTCGGTAAAATATTTATTTTTAGTTTTCTTACTATGATTTATTTAATTCCAGTCATATATTTATTTGAATGATTATAATGATGATAATATCAATTATCCAAATGTAAAAAATTTTCCATCAATTTTACAATCATCATCATCATCATCATCTCATATTATGAAACAAAATCGATCTAGACGATCAACAATTGTCAAACGTTCACAACGTAATGCAAATATTCTTTATCGATATTGTCGTCGAAATGGTCAAGCACCAAATTTTTGTTTAAAATATGCTGTAAGAATGATATTTGCTACAGGTCATTGAATATATATACATATATGATATACTAATTAATAATAAAATAAAATTTTTGCTCCAAAAACAAAAAAATATATATATAGATGTTTTTTATTATCTTTTATCCGATATTATCTGACAAAAATCACCATCATATCCATTTGAACATATACATGAGGAATAATCATTAAGACATTGTCCACCATTTAAACATGGACATTTATTATCTAGATGTTGATCACATAAATGACCAGTATAACCATGATAACAATTACAAAACATATAATGATATCCTTCTCTTTGTTGAGATAATAAACATATACCATGATGACATGGATTTTGATGACAATTACAATATTGATTATTTATTGAACATTTTGATAAACTTTGTTCAGATTGAATATGTTTATTTATACTACATGATATTTTCATATAAATATGATGATGTTTATGATTTTTAATATCAATAGAACCATCATTTCGAAGAAAATTCGAAGAAAGAAGAATACATTCTTAAGAAATAAATAAACAATCTATATGTATGAAAGTTTATAGGATATATATATTTTATTGATTTTTAGATATGAAAAAAAAAAAAAAAATATTTGAATAAAATTTGATTATGAAATTTTCTGATTCGAATCGTGTAATTAGATTTTTTTTTTTTTGTTCTTTCTCACAATTGAATCTATTTTCAAATATATGTTATTTGATGATTAATAGTTATATATTACAATATGTGGAGAATGAAGGATAAAAATCTGAGCTTATAATCTCTTTTCTAAGTCATAGGCTACTATAGAGTAATCAGATTTGTTATGGTTCATAAGAACATAAGATTGCGTAGTTCATTGTCAATTTCTTTTTCGATAATCTATATTCTTGAGTTTTGTTTCAGCGATCTTTTTTTTTTAGATTCATTATTTTTGAATCTGTTATAGTATATATATATAGTGCAGGTATTTTTTTCAGAATATTGCTTAATTACAGATTACTGAATTTCGATGAAGATCATACTAAAAACAAATTATTTTATCTAATTCTATTCTCATATGTTTGTACTTGACTCATTTTTGTCGTTCTTTCTGAAATCGTGTAGTAACAACACTTTGTCTCTACTTATTTATTTCATCCATTTAAAGGTAAATATGACAGCTGAAGAAAAAAAAAGAAGAATTAGTTTGAGCAAATTCTTTAAGATTTTTCTTGTGTAATATTGAATAAAAGATTAAATGTACTCAACAAAATTTAGTATTCTAAATGAAAGGATATCGTCATTGAATTTGAATTTCTTATTAGTTCGTTACACTAATATTTCACATAATATGAAATATAATCATATTAAGATAAATATTTAATTATCTAGAGTATCAAAGAGAAAGTATATTCAATTTTGAATCGATATAACTCATAACCCGATTATTAAATATTAACATAAGAATGTATTTTTTGTTGGTACTTTTAACTTACGAGATTGTTTTTCAACAAATTCAATACCCTAAAAACAAGAAAATACGTTATTTTTTTTTGTTAATATAAAATTCAAATAATTGATAAATTCATCTACGAACAACACAATTAATTATTTTTGAACATAAATATTGACATTGAATTTCGGATATATGACGAAATGTATGAATCATTCCTTGATTATGTTTACTGCAAAAACAAAAATCATAATATAATAATATTTTTCATATAAATAAACATTTACTGTTGACCTTGACCAACATATTTAAAATTACATAAAGGTTGATGATGTCGATAAAAAAGTTCATTATGACTAATTTTTACATGACATGATCGTTTAACAAATACAGTCCATGATTTACTTGGTAGAAGATCCCATGGTTTAGCTGAACGTAATAATCGACATCGATTTCGATATAAACCACGTGCCTGTTTTTTTAAATTAATTTTTATATACTATCATATAATACCAAAAAACAAAAATAATAATAATAATAATGTTACTTGATATTGTACAGCAGCACAATGTCGAACAGATGAACAAAGTTCTTGACAAGGTAAATATGATATACCAATTAATGTATAAGATTGAAATATAATTGAACGTGATCTTAGAGCACGTTGCCATGGTAATCTATTTTTGAAATAAAATTAAATATTATATTACAAAAATATATATATATATATATACGAATCATAATCACAATGAACAATTGATATTCGTTTTTGTGTTGTATGAGATAAAGAAAATATTCCTGAACAATCAGCAAATGTTGAATAAACATTATTTAATCGATATGGATGAGATATTGAATGTTTATTATGATATTGAAATAGATGACAACGATGATATTGTCGATTATATGTTGCCATTGAACATAAATGATTAATTGAACATTTATGTTCACATATATGTTCATTATGAATTGAATATTCAATACGTAATAAATGATTTCCTATAGATGGTTGATGATGATGATGATGTATGAGACAATATGAAGGAATAGAAGACCAAGCATATATATGATATATAATGATTATTTGAATGAAAATGACATATAGACTGTTGTACATTGAGCATTTCGAATTTATTTGTTAAATGTAACCATGGAATTTTGTTCGTTTTTATGATATAAAATATTATTTCTAATTGATTTCTTTCTTATAAGGAAAAACAAAATATGAATACTATTGTCGTTGTTCTTATAAGTTGAATGTCAATGAAATAACGTATATCTCATTAATATAATGGATTGCTTTTTTTTATTTTATTGAAAGAAAATATATCTTTGAAATTCTTCTAAGCGATTGACAGTTCATTTATAAGAATGTTTGATAGCAAAAAAAAAAAAATATGTCCCTTGTGAATATTCATTCTACATGGTTTTTGTTTTGAATTAAAATCAAAACAAGAATAATGTTGTTATTCGTGTGTTGATAATTAAATATTTACTAGTTTCCTTATTTTTATTGATCTTTCATAATTTAAACATATAAATGATATTGATTAGATCTGGAACATTCATCAATAATAATCTTTATTCAAATTTAAAACTTGAATACTTCAACTTTTGCCATATAAATAGTATTTAAAATATTTTTGTTTATACATTTTCAACTAACATTGGTTTAGATTAGTCAAAACAACATAAGAAATCATCATTTTGTAATGGAAATGGTGATGGAGCTGGAGAATGGCAGTAGTTTTCTTTTTTTTGAAATTTATTTATACTACATTTTAAGTATGTTTATATTTCTATAAGATTTACAGAGATAAATAGTGTGTATTTCTTATTATTTTTAAGCTTATGGTTTTAACATTTTGAAATGAATAATTCGAGAGAAGAACAAAAATTCATATATATGCTCTGTGTAATTTGTTTACTTGTATTATGTTTTCATAGATCGTAGCATACTCTCTCAAATTATGCTGAATTTTCTTCATTTCAATTAATTTCTTTGTAATTTTTAAAGAGATTTAAATTATTCAGACTCATATGACACATTCTGAAGAGAAATAAATGGTAATGAGTAATGTGTCTATTCGCTTACTAAGTCTCTTATTAAACTTGTTTTAATCGATAAGAATTAATTTAAGAGTCAAATTTCTTTCGTATTATGAATAAAATACAAAAAAAAAAACGACATTTTTTTTACGAAATTAAAGCATATTATGATATGAATTATATTATATCAAACAAATCAAAATTTATCAATAATTTGATCGTGAAACTGTACTTCTATATTATCTTGAAACAATATTAGTCACAGGTTGCTGCCATGCATTGAAGTTTGATCCAAGATTCAGCGTCGTGAGTGTCTGTTACCAACAATAACAATAAGTATGAGATAGATAACATCGTTGCAAAATATCCTCAATCTTACAAATAATATCAGACGTATATATGACTAGAATATGTGAAATAGATTATCCTTTGATACTCGACTTTTCAAATGAAATTTTCATCTATAACCAAATATAGACAAAGGTTGATTAACGGAACCTTATAAAAAAATGCACAATTTACTCAATTGATTTCATGAATTTCAATGAAATTTTGACTACATCTCAGCTTCTAAAGTTGTTTCTCTGTTGAGATATTGAAATCATAACAGAGGTTCTATTCCTATCTTCTTGACTAGAATGAGTATGGTGTGAATAGGAATCGTCAATTTACTCATACTCATACCTAAGAAGGAAAAAGAAGAAACCGACGTGAATAACTGTTTTCATGCATATGACATCTCTCAGTAGATTCTTGGTAGTTTATTGGAACTCCTAGACTTCAGAATTTTGATATTCACCCCTTAAATATAGATCTCACAAGCGAATAGACGTCTAACATATCTTGTGTAAGTATCTTGATGTTTTACAGTCAAATGATAACGTAATTTACCGTATTAATTTGCAATGCATTGATAAAATGTTGGCGTGCTATCTCATCAATATCGTTTCCTGTAAGATCTAATGTTGTAAGTGTCTGTAGGAAATTTGAATGATGAACATATAATAGATGACTAAAGAATTTATTTTACTGTATTATGTAACAATGCATTAGCTAAGTATTGTACTCCTCGATCCTTGATATTATTCGATTGAATATACAGTGTCTTAAGTGTCTATCATAATAGCACTGTTAAATGAATGATCTATAAAAAAAAAAGAGTGTTTAACTTTATTGATTTGCAATGCATTGGTCAGATACTGAAATCCATCATTCCCGAAAGAATTATTACCAATATTTAGTATAATGAGTGTCTTATGTTAAATAACAATGATGAATATATGATAGAAGACAAGAAAATTTGTATTACTGTGTTCTTTTCTAATGCCTTAGCTAAATATTGCATTCCATTATTACCAAAACTAGTTCCGAAGACATTGAGTGTTGTAAGTGTCTATGTTAAATGATGACATTAAGTATACAAAAAAAACTGAAATGGAGAGCTTCTCTTGCAGTGTTAACGTTGAGTGCATCAGCGATATATTGTATTCCATTATCGTCAATTTTATTTCCAGCAAGAGATAATGTTGTAAGTGTCTACGAAAAAATAGTATTGTTGCGGATATATAATGAATGTTTTGAAAATTGAACTCACAGTATTTCTTTGTAATGCTTCAGCCAAAGATTTTGTACCTTCCGCATAGATTCTGTTATTTCTAAGACAGAGTGATGTTAATGTCTATGTAAAAATAATAGTATTAAATATCTAATAGATAATTATGAAAAAAAAATTTTCTTACTGTGTTTATGTGTAATGCATTAGCCAAATATCCTGCTCCTTCAGCTTCAATTACGTTTTGAGCAAGTTTCAACATATTAAGTGTCTATATTGAGAATAATCATGATGTATCAATGATAAAAAACTAGATCATTTGTCTTACTGTATTCTTCTTTAATACTTCTGCCAGATATTGAGCTCCGATATTACCAATTTCAGCGCATTCGAGCTCAAGTTTTGTGAGAGTCTATATTGAAAGTTTATAATGAATATGTAATAGGTAAGTAGAAAAATTTTCTCACTCTATTGCTTTCTAATACATTAGCCAGATGTTGAACACCCTCACCACCAATATTATTGTCTGAAAGTATCAGTGTTGTAAGTGTCTATTTCGAATAATAATGTAAATTTTATGGTTAAAAATAAGTAGAGAATTATCGTACCGTATTGTTTTGTAATATATTAGCTAGATATTGTGCACCTTGAGCATCGATACGATTTCCTTGAAGATTAAGCGTCGTAAGTGTCTATGTGAATGATAATCTTAGAAATATAATATATATATATATATATATATATAAGCAGAAATTCTTTCCTCATTGTATTCATTTTAAATGTATTAGCAATATATTGTAATCCTTCATTGCCAATTATGTTCCATGAAAGACATAGTGTAGTGATTGTCTATATTGCATGATTAATTTTTTTTACTGATATCTCAATAGATATCTTATCTTACCGTGTTATTTTGTAATACATTAGCGAGATGTTGTAGTTTTTCTTTGTCAATTTTCCCACATTCGAATTGAAATGTGGTATATGTCTAAACAAATTTTAATGTTCTATTCAAATAAAATTTATTTCATTGGTATTAGTAGGCAATGTAATGAAATAACTAACGAAAACAAAATAAGGATAAGCATATTCAATTTCTATTGAATAGCAACTAGCAAATTTATCTAAACATTACACATGTACAAAAATAGTTATAGTCTCGAGATTGGGATCAAAAAAATTAAAAAGTACTGAGTCGAAACGAGGACTACAAGAAAAAAAGTTTGTTCAAAGCAGAATCGAAAGTATTGGTTCAACTGTCTATGATTTTTAACGAATTATGCTCTAGAATCATTTCAATCAAAGCAAAGTTCACGAGAGAAGACCCAAAGAAAAAGTTAAAATGATTCTTTCGTAGGTTTTCACAGAATGAATGATGCATCTATAAACGATAAGATTTTTCTTGTTTTTAAAGAGAATATATGAAAGAACTGAACGTCTTATAAAACTGTTCGTATATTGTTTCTATTATCAGAAAATAGTGTAAAGAATAAATATGATGTTTTCTTATGTGAAGAAAAAATGAAGATTACCTGATACCGATAATATGTACTTATGATTGCATTGAGTCTTGTGCAGACGTTAGAGAGTGAGCAAAGAATTTCTAGTTCATGACAATGATCAAGAATTCTGTAGACAAGTTCCACAGGTAATGTATGAAGACACGTAGTAATCATTTCAGCCTTGAATATAGTTTCGTTTGTAATATGTGTGTTAGAATTTAATACTTTCTTATTTTCACCTATTTAATGACAGTGTGTCATGATTTTGTAATATTTTACCTGAATGTGGGAGTAGAAAAAGGAAGTGAAGAACAAAAAGGTTGTCATACGGTGTCTGTGTTCACCTTTTTTTTTTTTTTTTTATTTTTTCTTTGATATATTTATCATAGCCATGTAGAAACAGAACAACAAGAGAAAAATAGATAGTGTTGAGTAAACAGAACGAAAAGACGAAACTTGTTATTGAAGATACAGTATGTCAGTAATTTTCACTTAGTAATTATATTTGTAACAGGTACATATTGGATGTGGAGTGTAGATGGAAGACTATGACACCTACACCTCACACCCTAAAAGATTTTCAAGTTCGAGGAATTCAAATCTACAATCGATTGCTCAATGAGGAAAACTATTTCGCGACAATAACGAATTTTTATAAAGTTTAATCAAAGATCTTGCCGATCGAGGAATTTGGGTTTGTTACAAGGGATGAATCGTGAGATCCTAAAGTTTAGAATTCTCAATAAGCTTCTAAAAGCCTATGAAGGAACGTCATCTGCGTCATAACAGTTTTTCATATTGATATTTCTTTTTTCTTTATTTTTATTTGCTCGCGATCATTTATACATACGCACATCGAGAGATAGTTTATTTGTTTTGTTGAGCTGTAGTTCTTAGAATCGCCTTATTTCCTCTGTAATCATAGCGACTGAGTTCCTCAATGCAACACCATGCTTTTTCACAAAGATGGAGCCACAACACCAATGCCCTTCGTATTTTGGATAGGCAGTAACATCGTTGTTACATGCATCATTTTTCCCAAAACCACACGGTGCCAATCGAGTAGCCGCCAGAGTTGGAACCGGACAGCTTTTTTCTATCCAGTCCGGTCCGGCCAGCAACCGGCCGGATGAATTTTACAGTCAAACTGGCAAAAATCCGGCGAAAATAACCGACCATAGAGGTATCTGTTCACATATAATGGTGGTGAAGGAAAATTAAATATTCACGTGCACAAATACGAACTAGAAATGATCGACTTAGATTTACCAGAATTTAATAAATCGAAAAATAAATCTAAAAAAAAAAAATTGGATTAATGTAGATTTAAATTTTTCAAATTTATTTAAATCTAGTTTAAACCAATTATAACTTCAATTTAAACCAAATAAAATTCAAAATTCAATTTAAATTCATTCTGTT